GAGCCAGGCGGATCTCCGTGAGTTCGAGGCCAGCCTGGGCTACCAAGTGAGCTCCAGGAAAGGCGCAAAGCTACGCAGAGAAACCCTGTCTCGAAAAACAAAACAAAAAAAAAAAATCCAAAATCATTTGAGAATGTTATTAAATCATAAAAATGAGTGCCCCTTGGATAATGAAGGGTGATTCCCTTATGCCTTGCATCAGGTCATAGTAAAAGACTCAGTGTAAGCTTTAACAGGAGGGCAGTAGTGGTCATGTGGAGAAACAGTTCCTGTGTGCACGCATTATCATTTACACAGAGAAACAGAACAAAATTTGCCAACAAAAGAAGCAATGATAGCCACATCTACCACTACTTTGCAGAAATGCCTATAGCATTTCCCATGTGAAGGAGTGGCTTTTCAATGTTGAGCTTATTTTAAATGAGGAGCAGAGTGACAAGAGAGATCCATATTAGGTGGATTGAGAGATCCACATGTGTGTGGACTGAGGAAAGAAAAGGGCAGCCACAGTCCATGTCTTTCTTGAATGTGCATGGCAACAACATATCAATGCCAAATTAATGAGGCTTGCTTACCATGCTTTTAATTGCTAGCTAAAATTTTTATCATGTTAACTTCACACATGCTACTCCAATATGCTAAGCCTGTATGTTCACGCTGTAGAGACCACACATAAATAACTTTTGGAATTGCTTTATGAAGGCCATCATCACCAATGTGTACTTTGTAAATTTCAATTAGCATAGCAAAAAAAAGCATTAGCTATCAACCTGGGAAAATATATACATCTTTAAGGTCCCAAAGAATATGAGGAATTTTTTTTTTAAGAATTTTGGGAAATCATTATATGAGTTTGTAGAATGGAGCAGTCACAACACAATGAAGTCTGACCTACATGATTAGTTGTCTGTGTCTTTGATTCGATTCATCAGTCTGCTAGTGATATCCAGGCTCCTGGATCCACAAACTCTCAGCTACTTTCTGATCTCAAAGTAAAACTGTGTTCGTGTGTTTCACTAGAACTTTTAAAGGCAATTTTTATTTGTTTCTGTTTTTGCTTTTGTAGAAACATGTTTATAGAGAGCATAGCCTTGATCCATTAAACAGCTGTAATTACAAGGACATGGCATTTCCTTTTGCACAGAAAAGAGGTTTTACTTATAACTATCACTTATTTTATTCCTTGAGAAGAGTGGAGATAGCTAACCCTGTACTATTTCCAAGTGTTCAATCCAGGATCTTCCTTGCCAGTATAGAGATGCTTACCATGGGAGCTGCCATGTTCTGTGGTTCTGAGAAGGACATGGGCAGTCAGATGCATTATTCTTAAAATCAATTATTCAAAATCCATATATTTTCAATACTTGAATTTCAATGAACATTTGTAAGATTTAAGAATACTTTAGACAAATTATATCTTGAACCTTAACTATTAAAATATAGTACTTGATTCTGTCCTAGTATACAACATGACCATAAATTTCATTTCATATGTTGAAAGTGACTAGAAGAGTCTGAGACTGTACCACTTCACAATATATATGATTAAACATGCATTCTTAAAAAATAAAAATGTACACTAAGAATAAATATGCTAGCCAAAGTAAATTCACATGATGTATGTTAATTTATGTTGCTTAAAGATGTAAATGTCTATAATATATTAACACTAAAATATATTTAAAAAATGAGAAATACTGTGTATTAGAATATCTTAAAACTTAAAAATGTTTATATAAAATTTGTTTGCATGTATTTATATGTACCATATGCTTATTACATTGCCCATGGAGGCCAGAACAGAGCAATGGATCCCGTGGAACTAGAGTTGCAAGTGGTTATAAGGCACCATGTGGATGTTGGAAAGCAAACCTGGGTCCTCTGTAAGAGTGGTAAGTGCTCTTAACCAAGGAGATAGCTCTGTGCCTCTGTAATGGAATAGTTCTGTTGTTTGTTCATGTTACTTTTTTATATGCTTGATGATGCTGATAATACTCAAGTTTCACGTGAATTTTTTAAATAAAGAATTAGTTTCTTTCCTTTTTTTCTTGTTAATAACAAGGTATGTTGTTGCATCCCTTGATCTCAGCACTTGGGAAGCAGAGGAAGAAGATAGACCTTTATAAGTTTGAGGATGCCTGATTTATATAATGAATTCTAGACCAACCAGAACTACATAGTGAGAACCTGTCTCAAAAAAAAATAGAGAGAGGGGGGATAAAAATGTAATTTTACATTTCCATATTGACCCATGTGTTCTTTGCAGAATTCAACTTCACTCATTGTTCTATGGTTCAGTGGTGTTCACAGAATGTCTTGAGATGTATAAACATACTGACTGCTGTTAGTACTGAATGCTGTGCTGAGTGTGTATGAGCAGGACCATTTTACCCTCTTTCTTGCTGTCTGTCGTATCCCCAATAGGAACATCTGGGATGCTGTGGTCTCTTCTGAGGTTGGAAGCTGTTACATTAAGAACTAAAACAACAAGCTCTAAGGGCATCTGTAGCTTCAGTTTGCTCTCAAGCATTGTGTTTAATACACTTTTAGGAATTAGCTGAGTAAAGGTGTAAAAATAATATTAGGTTACCCAAAACCAAAGGATTATACATCAAGAAAGTACTAGGTTAAATGTTGAGGGTGAGAGGGGAAGATATGGTTAACTCTTCCTGGGCTGGGTCAGGGAGATGTTTTCACAAAACATCTGCTTGTACTAGATATAGATAACCAGGCACAAGGAAAGAAGATATGAGGAAAAAGAGCATCCCAGGAGGTAAGGTCCCAGTGATCAGGACTGCAGGGTTATGAAATGCCATGGTGGGCTCAGCAAGTCTTCACCTATTAGGAATACAGCAAAAAAGAGGCGGGGCAGTGGTGGTGCATGCCTTTAATCCCAGCACTCTG